CCAAGAGTGGGAATGGAGGCATCTAGTTTTAAATGGGAATTTCCTTGATTTTTCTCCAAAAATTAACCATTTCTAATTAAAGTTCTGGTCTATGGAAAAATGCCATTTAATAGAGTCTGGAAATGTTGAAGTTAAGGAAAAGAGAGATCAGTACTTTTTTCTGTTGTTAATTCTCACCTGAGGATATTTTTTTTCCAATGATTTTAGAGGAGAGAGAGAGAGAGAGAGAAATATTGATGTGAGAGAGACACATTGATTGGTTGCCTCCCGCACGTGCCCCAACCAGGCTGGGGATAGAACCTGCAACCCCAGGTACGTGCCCTTGACCAGAAATTGAATCCGAGACCCTTAGGTGTGCAGGCCAATGCTCTAACCACTGAGAACACCAGCCAGAATGGGAGGTCACTACTTTTTAAAATTACATGTCATGAATTAAATACTAGGAAAAGCTATTGTGAATTATTATGAAGGATATTTGCTATCATCTGTATAAGATTTTTTAAATTTTAGTTTTGGAAATTGACAACACTTCACGGGAATCAAAATTCAAAAGGTACAAAAGAATAGGCAATGAAAAGTCTTCCCTCCAATTCTGACCTCCAGTCATCCACCAGTTTCCTAGGTTTTGACATTAGGGAACTAAAAAGAAACTAGACCCCCAGGTGGCTCACCTGGTCGCTCCACCACGTCACTGCCACGTGAAGGCTGTAGTCGCAGCAGACTTTGGGATCAGCCCAGCTTCGCCAGGTCTCGAAGGCTTTGATGAGGGAACTGCCTTTCTGAGGAATGGCAAAATCGATGATCATGGTGGTGCCTCCTGCCAGGGCAGCCTGGAATCACAAGAGGGTTTCAACAGGTGAGACATCAGTTTTCTGCTGAAGTCATTTATCTCCTTGAGCAACATGCATTTGCAAGCACTTGGGCAAACTTGATGGGTCCGGGAAAATGCACCAAGATGCTGCCTTTAAAAGACCCCGAGGGACATAAGTAGACTTGACATAAATTAAAATTTGAAGTATTAAAACTGCTGGAGGGGAGCATTTGAGATCTTGCTTTTTGACATTGTCCTCAGTTTGGCTCAAATAAATGCTTATAAAAATAAAAAATAAAATAAAATAAAAATAATAAAACTGCTGGAGTTGCTTCTGTGAAAAAGAATGGCATGTCTGATGAAATGAAAATGGCTTTGATCCAAAGAAAACCAAGGGGGGACTCTAAAGAAAAACCAAAATGGAGAAGTGTCAGGAAAACCAGGCGTAATGAGCCACGTGCCAGGGCTGCAGATCTCTAATCCTGATAAGAGTGGATCCCCCAAGGTGGGAAGGGGACCTGCTCCTCTCAAGACTGATTTGCCTCTTGAAAGATGTGCTTGTTTAAATACCCAGTTCTGGGTTAAGCATCTTGTACTCATGAGCTTATTTAATTAAGCCTTGCTACAGCCTGAGAGGTAGGAATTGCCATCCTATTTTACAGTTGAGAATACTGAGGCCCAGAGATGTCAAATGACTCTCCAAGGTCACACAGCTGATAAATTCTCATTGGTAACATGGAAGAAGATACAACCTTGAGCCGGAGGTCTTCCATTCAGTCTGCTCTTGGCCTCTACCCCATGCAGACCATTCCCCCTTCTCCCATCTTCCGTTTAGTGTCACCTGCTTTCCAACCCGGGGACCCGGGTCATTACGTGAATCATCACTTGGAGAGATGCAGAGGTTGGCAAAATCACTGAAACGTTTAGGAAACCAAAAGCCATGCAAGACAAAACAAATCTCATTCAACTATGAATTATGAATTCACAAATGAAATGCAATTTTATTAAGCTCATGTGATGTTCATCAGTGTGACAATCGCTAATGATAATGGCCCCCTAAAGATTTATAAGGAAGGGCCCATACCAGGGATTCTTTGCCTTCATAAAGCTATTACTCATGGATAATCAGCTTTATCCAGTGAACCAGCTGGTTAGAACAACACAGTCCCAGCCCACTTTAGATATTTTCAGTATTTGTTTAATTTCTTTCAGCATCAGCTGCTTCTAGGCTTACTTCACAAATTCACAAAATGTTCCGCCAGCTTTACCCAACATCTAAGAATGAAGAGAGCTTAGAGGAGGGAGAGCCAGCAAAAGATGAACACTTCTTTCATATTTCTATATAAAACCTAATTGTTTCCTTTGTTTTTACTGCTGATTGACTTCGCTCCCCTTTTATTTGTAGTTAGCCATATAAAACGCATTTACCTTTTCTCATCTGGGCTCGTAAATCAATTCTTTCAGCTCCTAATTACCTTGGCTGTTCTCCCTTGAAAACTGTCCAGTTTATCTAAAGCTTCTTTTGCTAGGAAGACAGTATGTGCTGTCTCAGGTGCAAATGTGATAGAATATAAATTGAGATAAACTCCAACTAACAGTGGGGTCATAATTTTACATAACACAAGATTTTATTTAAGAATGTATTTGGTTGTAAATCATTGCTGAAAGCATCCCAAGCATTTTCTTAATTTTTTGTATTTCTAAGCTCATCCTGAAACAAGTGACTTTGTTTCACTAAAATCAATCACAGGACTTGCTCAACCCAAGTCAAACAAACAAACAAAAAAGTCCAACAGTGCATTTGAGCTGTAGGGAGAAAAACGCTGACTGAATTTTCAGCTTTCTCGTAGTCACTAAGACTTATGAAAACAAACTTTATGACCCCAAATTGTGTTTCAACTCCAGAAGCACATTTGGCTTTGGAAAGATGCCTGCTGCATCGCCTCACCAAGCTTATCTCCTATGTCCCCAAGTGTGAAACACTAATCATACCATCACTTATCCAGCTGTGCAAACCAGACTTAGAGTCACCCTTGAACTTTACCTTTCTCTTTCCCTACACCCCCAAATCCAATCTATCCGGGGCGGGGGATCAAGCCTGCAACCGAGGTTACATGTCCTTGGCTGGAATCGAACCAGGGACCCCTCAGTCCGAGGGCTGACTCTTTAACCACTGTGCCAAACCAGCTAGGGCTATTTTGTTAATTTTTAAGGTCTGTGCTTTTTATCTGTGAACAGATCCTTAGGGTTCAGGACCTCACCCCTGTCCCTAGAACGTGCACTTTCTCTATTAGGTAAACGAAATGGAACTGGCATGTTGTAGTGTCCTCCGTCAATTTGTTACTTGCCATGTGAAAAGAGGAGCCCAAAGTGGTGAGGAGTTGCCCTGGGTAATTACCGAAGCTCACTTAGCCAAATAGCCTACTAAAAACACAATTTGGTGATGCAAGCCATTGCGACTGGCGACTTCACAAAAGGGAAAATGCCAGACCTCAAGTATTCAGTTGACAATAGTCCCAGTCATCAAAGTTAAGTCTGCAAGCCCAACAGTCCATCGTATATAACTTCTTATTAAGGCCAGGTAAAGTTGCAGCTCCATAACCTCGAGCTGTCTGCCACTGAGAACGAACACATGGTTTTCATGTCTATCACCCCAACCACAATGCCTGGCACTTACTGGGTTCCCAAGAAGGGTTTGTTGACTGAATTAATGGAAACTATCAACTTGGAATAGCCTTAGTTTAGGGTTATTCTACATTAGATGGCAGTGACAGGGTCCAGAAGTGTCACCAGTGGGGAAGAGTGACTTAGTTTAATTTGCAAACCCTAAAACTAAAAGGTTACAGAAAAAAGTTTTTCCTCCCCGACAGCAGCATCGTGGAAACCTTAATTTCTACACTATTTCTGCGTGACACTGAAAACATCCAGCCCCGGCAAATGAAGGAGGAAACAGTGGCGGGACTGAAAAGCATCAAGATCTCAAGCATGGAAGCTGGAAGAAGGCAAGCCCTCGATTCTGTCAAGGTCAGTGAGCTAATCCCTAACATACAACACCCTCAGCAGGGCCAAAGCCGTACTTAACATCGGGCAGTTTCAAATTAATATTTGAGAGGATTTTTTTTTTCTTCCTCTAATTAATAGTGTAAAGATCAACTTTGTAATCAATAAGGAGCCACCCAAGGAAATCACAGAATGATGCACCCAGAGCTGGAACATGCGAGCTGGCACATCGAGGGGTTCCAAAGCTCAGCCTCACCAGCCATCAAAGAAACGCTCGTTTAAAAACATTAAGAATAAAAACATTAAGAAATTCTGTTGCTCCTATGAAATTGGCATTGATTTTTTTAAAGTCAATATTCACAGGTAGCTAGGCTGCAGTGAAATGAGAATTATAGTGTCCCCTGTATTGCTCGTGGGAGCAGAAATGAAAGAGCAATCTGGATGGACGTATGAAACTCCTTTAAGATGTATCTAGTACCCACCGGCCCTGACATTTCACTCCGAGGGCTGATTTCTAAGTCGATCACCATGGATCTGAGTAATGATGCCCATTGGGTTGTTATACACAAGCAAAAACAAAAACAAAACAAAACACTGGTGACTGTCAAAATGTCCAACGCTGAAAAGAAGAGAGGGAAGCTGCTAACAGTCTGGGAAACAGGATAAAAAAATGGGTGAGGGGCTTGGAGGGAAGGAACAGGCTGAGCTTGAGGTGCTTATGGGACATCAGGTTGTGGCATCTTCAGAAAGGCAGAAATGAAAGCCTGGGGCAGGGGAGACCTCGCGACCGGAGGGGAAGCTTTGAGACTCAGGCCTGACTCGGAGAGGCTGACCAGGCCGCGGAAACCGAGTTCTTCAATGACAGTCACGGCCAGGGGAAGTGCTTACGGAACAAGGCTGACTCCAGAGAGTATGCACAACTGAGTGGAAGGAAAACTGTTTAGATGCCCCACAAAAGGAAACAACCAGAAAGGATAGAAAGCAAAATGTTAAAATTATAGGTGATTTAAATATTTCTTTTTGTACTCTTTTCCCTAAAAAAACAAAAACAAAAACAACAGTTTACTCATTCAGTCAATATATACTGAACATCAATAATGCTCCAGAATTTTCCTAAGGGCTGGATGATACCTACATATTGTTTTTCATTAGCTTTAAAAATATTTTTTAATTGAAGCTGTTCTTCTAATCAATGTTTCCTTTTGCAGATAAGGAAAGGCTGACAGCCCTGAGAGAAGAAGTGACTTGCTCAAGGTCACACAGTCAGCCCGCAAAGCCTGGAAGCCCAGCCTGGAGCTCCAGCAAGCACCAGAAAAAGGGATTTGGTTTGCAACCAAGTTTCCTGAGCACTGCTCTTCTACAAGGTAAGGAGCTCTATAAATACAACCATCAGTGGGTGCTTAATCACATACCTTCCACTGCCTTATTGTAGGGGATCATCTTGATGGCATTTTACCAAAAAGTTTCAGAGCAAAGTCTAATTTTCTTTCTTGATAATTCTGAGGACTTTTTGTCCTTTATAAAAAAAAGTGTTCTGAGTGTTTTCCCAACTTAAAAAAAGATTCTCCCTCCAGCTATTGATGCTGCCAGGTTTTTAATGCGAGTCCAACTACTCCAAGCTGCACATATGTCTGAATATAAGTATATGTATTTAAAAACCGGCTGAGCTCTTGTAACTCAACCTCTTGCCACAAGATATAGTGAAAACAAAGCCACAATTCCTTCAGTTTATCTAATTCACAATATCCATTTGAATAAAAAATCCCATTGTCTTTCCTCACAGATATTAAATTATTAAAAGACCACCAGACACCCACTATAGACCCAAGAAAATGAAATATGATTTCTTTAAAGCAGAACATTATTTTCATTGTTATATCAGATAGAAAGCTTTTACATTTAATTAAATAAATTAATGACAGGCTCTAAACCAACCTCTCACATGAATTTGATTTACAAAATATGTAACCTTTGGTTGACCTATTCTGGTATTTCATTTTTTAAATTGGGCCCCC